TTGACAATGGTCCCCGAGAGAGAGAGGTTAGACATGAAGTCTATTTATGTTCATACGTGTGTACAGTTTAAATTAACGTTGTTGTTGTTAAATGCTGTTGAGTTGGTTCCGACACATAGCAACCCTGTATAGGGTTTCCAAGGAGCGGCTGGTGAGTTTGAACCGCTGACCTTGCAGTCCAATGCATTATCCTACAGCACCACACCAGGACTCGAAGCTAGCACTGTCGTTGTTGTTTATGTTAAATGCCATCGAGTCGGTTCTAATACATACCATTGATGGTGGCAGTGGTATGCCATGGAGTCAGTTCCAACTCATAGCAACCCTGTATAAGGTTTCCGAGGCTGTAAATCTTTTACAGGAGCAGAAAAGCCTCATCTTTCTCGTGCGGAACTGCTGGTAGTTTCGAACTGCTGACCTTGAGATTAGCAGCCCGACTCATAACCACTACGCTACCAGAGCTCCTTGCCATATCATTGTTGTTGTTTTTGTCAAGTGCCATTGAGTCAGGTCCAACCCATAGTGACCCTGTATAGGGTTTTCAAGGAGCAGCTGATGAGCTTGAACTGCCAACCTTGCAGTTCAAACAGCTTTGCAGTCTGGAGCACTAACCCATAGCTCCACACCAAGACTCCTGCCATATCATTGTTGTTGTTGTTGTTATGTGCCGCGGAGTCGGTTCCGACTCATAGCGACCCTGCATAGGGTTTCAGAGGCTGTAAATCTTTACAGGAGCAGAATGCCTCATCTTTTTCCCACGGAACCGCTGGTAGTTTCGAACTGCTGACCTTGCGGTTCACAGCCATATCATTAGGATCAAGGAAATCTCATTTCCAAACTCAGAAAAATGTCTTCATATTTTTGTTGTTATTTAGGTACCATCAAGTCAGTTCTGACTCATATTGACCCTGTATAAGATTTCTGAGACTTTAAATCCTTGTGGGAGTAGAAAGCTTCATCTTTCTCCCGTAATAACAACAACCTGGGACCATTGGAAGAATCAAGTAAAGTAGACTTTCAAACGCAGACAAAACCAACATTCTCATGTTCCCATTATGTTAAGTCCCAGCAAGTCACTTCCGACTCATAGCTACCCTGTGTAGGGTTTCTGAGGAGCAGCTGGTGAGTTTGAACCGTTAACCATGGGGTTAGCAGTCCAGTGCTATGCTACAAGCATCACACCAGAGCTCCAACATCCTCATGGTGGTGGTGGTGGTGGTTATGTGCTGTGGAGTAGGTTTTGACTCATAGCAACCAAGTATAGGGTTTGCGAAGCTGTACATCTTTATGGAAGCAGAAAGCTTCATCTTTCTCCCGAGAAACAGCTGGTAGATTAGTAATTGACCTTGTGGTTAGCAGCCCAATTCATAATCCACTGTGGTACCTGGTCTCCTCCAATATCCTCATAGCCAACCACCGCCCCACCCCGGCCCCCAGAAGTCTCACAGCTGACGTTTCCCAGTGAATCCTATTAAAAACTATCGAATGGAGAATTTGGTCATTTTGAAATTTTTAAGAGGCTTTGCTAAATCTATTTGTGTGGTTTTTATGATCGGGAAGTTGTGGGTTTATACCTAATCAAGAAACTTTCAACATTAAAAATTCAGAATGGGGGTGCACTGAAAATCGATAGCCCCCAGGCCAGAAATAGCCCTATCCTGAGTCACCCACAGGCTGTCCAACCCCTAGGGGGAAGCATGGTCACCTTCTCTAGCTCTTACCTGAGGCTGGAGGTGGAAAGACAGGTAGATGCTCACAGAGCAGAACTGATCCAGAACTTCTGTCAGGTTTTCTATTTATAAAGTTAATTGTTCTTAAAGACACAGGCTCTAGACCCATGTTTATGATTTAAGATGCTCTCCAAGTCACTTAATCTGTGAGGAGAGAGAATATCTACTTTAAAGGTGGCTGGGTGTCCTAGGATCCAGGGGAATGGAAATTGCTACGAACAATTTGATGATCTGAAATGTTGTTTTTGTGAAGTGCTGTCGAGCCCTAATAGGGTTTCCAAGGAGCAACTGGTGAGTTTGAATTGCCGACCCTGTGGTTTGAAGCCCATTGCTGATCCTACAGCTCCACACCAAGTCAGTCACCCTTGGCTGTCACTCATTGTGACAAATCCTACAACGGGGCTTCCTGTGTTAATTACCCAAGTTGTGTCCTTGGGTGGGATGCTGAGCCTGTCTGCATCTCAGTTTCCTCATCTGAAGAATGGGCAGATGTAATGGTTAATGAGGTAACAATTGTTTGGGCACACAATAGGTACTCAGTAAACATTTGGCTTGTAGGAATAATGGTGTGGACTCCTTAGCTTGGACAGGTGCTTGACACAACAGCAGCATCTGCACATCCCATAACTCCAGAACTGTAGACCTCCTCCAAAACAGCATTCCTCGGGCCTATGAACTGGCTGATTATCTGGACTAGTGGTGGATCGGGGGTGGAAATCTCGCCTTCCATGTGGGAGATCTGGGTTCGATTCCCAGCCAATGCACCTCATGTGCAGCCTCCACCCATTTGTCAATGGAGGCTTGTGAATTGTTACAATACTAAACAGATTTCAGCGGAGCTTCTAGACTAAGGCAGACTAGGAAGAAAGCCTGGAGATCTACTTCTGAAAACCTCACAGATCATACCAGTCCCATCCGCAATGGATCATGGGTTTGACACAGGGCCGGGCAGCCTTTCTGTGGTGCATGGGGCCGCCAAGAGTTGGACAACAGCTCAAAACAACAATCAGATTGGGGTGGACCCCAGGTAGACAGGTAGACAGACCAGTCGGTCACCTGCACGCTGGCAGGACTCAGATACCAGGTAACCTAGGACTCCGGGAAGAGCAGTCACCACGTACAGCCCAGCCTGAGCCTGCACAGCCCTGCGAGGACAGATTGACTCCCAGACCTAACAGGAAGGGGAACCGAGAATGAAACTAGGGCACCCCAGCTATCCTGCCACCGGGCGCTCTGTGCGGAGCAGTTTCTGTGGGGTCTGTGAGGGCAGGGCGTGCCAAGCCTGTTAACATGTTTGTGGAAAGAACCGTAGGGGAAGAGTGCAAAGGTCAGCACAGTATGGCAAACCTGGTTCCAGCTCCCCACAGGAAATGGAAGGGATGGGTAGGAGGCTGGCCAGGAACTGGATGAAGGCAAGCAGGGCCGCAGACTCCAGATCCTAAAACATCTATGGAAAAAATTTGCTGGGCCCTAGCTGCTGCTCTCCTAAGGACCACAGGCTCCTGGGGCGGGGGGAGACCTGAGAGTAGGGGGTTGAAGTGGCCAGAGATAGGATGAGTCCGAAGTGAGGCCAGGACAGGTGAGACCAGGCTAGTGTAGATGCTAAGTGTGGGAGAGGGCTGGGTTCCACAGGAGCCCAAGAGGTCACTCTCCTACCCAAGGGTCAAGTCAGTCCTTGGCCTAACTGGAGGCGGGTGGTTAGCCCATGCGCTGGTTACAGGAGGGCAAGGGGTCAGAACAAGTGGAGGTGTTTAAATGGAACCCATGCATCTGTAGCCCCTAACCATTGCCCTGCAGAAAGGCCCTTCAGCATGAAGATGAATGAATGCAGAACACACACAGCAGCAGAAGACCTGGAGACCATCACCAAGCCAGGGCTTACCCACCTTATTAAACCCCTCCCATGCCCTTCTCCTCTTTAATTCCACATCTTTGCTCCTCCATTCCAGCTCTCCTCCTCAATTCACAGACAAGTCCCCAATCCATCAGTTTTTGGCTTGTGTCTACCTAGACAGTGCTCCACCACGGGTCTGTTCTGATTATGGCGGCCCTGTGTGTGTAGAGTAGAACTGCTTCACTGAAGGCCCCTTTTCAAACCATCGACTTTACTTCTACTAAGCATTTGTACCACCAGGATGAACCACTGGGCAAACCTACTTCTCAGCCCAACGTTGTCATCGTGGTTGCCAATGCTGTGGTTGTTAAGTGCTGCCAAGTCAGTTTCGAACCAGTGACATTGTGGTTAGCAGTCCAGTGCTTACCCTATAGCGCCACACCAGGACTCCTAACCTAAGCTTAAAAGTCCTGAAAGTGTCTTCAGAACAAAACCCAAACTACATTGGCAAGACCTGGGTGGATGGACCCCACCAATTAATCTCTCCTTGCCCCACCCCTAGGGTCAGTTCTGGTCTCATGGTGGTCTCCACACCTCGGAAGAAGTTGCAGGCTTTAGTAAGCCCCACTTTCTGACAGCACTTCTTCAGGCTGAGTAATAGAGGCCCTTAGCCCATGGACTTGGGTGTACAGAGCACCGGAGCTGAATAGAGAACTTGCTTCACACACACACACACACGCACACGCACATGCACACACACACACAAGTCTCCCACAGAAGACCTATGCAGGAACTCAAGAACTTGACCTTTCCTTCCCACTTGGGGGACCAGTCTGACTGGAGGAGGTGGGACCAGTATCTCCACAGGCCCGCCCCTGTGGTACACCCCCCTTCTGTCCCCTGGGTTTGCAGCTTCAGTGATTTGGATTTCACTGATACAGCTCCAATCTAAGTCGGTCCCCAAGGTCAAAGAGTGGGTCCACTATGTTGTTCGAAGTGGTCCCAGAAACAATGTCCCTTCTGTGTGGCATCTGATAGCCCCGAAATCAGCCCTCGGGGGGCCCGCGCCCGCGTCCCCACCACCAGGAGGTTGGTCAAGGTGACTATGACCCGCCCCCGGGCCGGTCGCCCCCAGGGACCTAGATAGGTGGGAGAGTGACGGAGAGACCGAGGGTCCTGGCCAAGAGGGTCGTAGGATGGAGGGGCAAGGGGGCCCGGGAGGGAGAGGGTAGGAGACAGGGTGGGGGGTGAGGGGGCGCCACAAAAGACCTCGGGTCGCGGTCCGGGAGAGGCTGGGGATGGCGAGGAGTGGGCGGTAGGGACTGGGGTCCCGGGCTGGTGTGGGCTGGAGGGGGTGGAAGTCCTAGATATGGGGGATCAGGGTGGGCGAGCAGACGGGGAAAGGCCCGGACGGGAGCAGGCGGGTGCGGGCTTACCCTCGAGCGCGGCCTTCCAGCTGGTGCTCCCCTCGTAGCCGGAGCCCGAGCGGCGCAGCAGCCCCTCGGTGCGGGCCTCG